TCCGCCAGAGCGGAGCTTGGCGCCTATGACGGCAGGGGCAGGTGCACGGACAGTGGCGGCCCGTATGATGGGCAATGCGCTGCCGGGGGGGGGACCAGAGGACAGCAGCGGAAGTGCCACGGTGACGCACGGGGGGGCGGTGTGCCGAGGTGGACCGTCGGATGAAGAAGGTGAGGGAAGACGTCCTGTGGGCGCACCCATGCTTTTCTTTGATGTGCCCATACCTTCCTTCAATAGCGTTTGGATTGGTTGAAGGCCAGAAAGCTGTGGACTTTGCTTTGAAAGCTCTAGCTGAACTATTGGAGGTGGAGTTGCCCCCATTGGTCTTCACATACTGACCTGTGGCATAATCTCTGGGGTTGCTCAAATGCAGATCAGACGTCTTCAGAGGAGGAAGTGGAAGAGAACGGCGCAAAGTGGGGGGTGCCCCTTGCAGTAGATCTGACCCCCGAGGAGCTGGCGCGGAGGCGTGCCGCACAGATGAAGCGGCTGCTCAAGCTATACAGGTGGGTGTGGCAGCAACCTCTGATCTTCTCGTCTTTCTGAGTTTGCTGTTGCTTCCTTGCAGGGATGATGGGAGTGTACAGGGCACACCGGCTTATTGTGTAAAGCTATGACTTCATGCTTTCATTCTCTTGCTCTCATTCTCATACATATGTTCTCATTCCTATGTACATGTTGCTGATTAAAGGTGTGTACCTGGCCAAACATGTGCAGGTTGCAGTACTGGGGCCTAATTGAAGAGATGCGGTCCAAGCACCGCCGTTACTTCCTGCGCCAAGGGACGAGTGGCTGGAAAGAGGAGGGGGAGGGGGCCGCAACCGAGGGAACAATGCGCCCCGTATGCAGCAAAGCAGGGTGTACAGACAGGGCCATGCCAGCCAGGTAAGCTAGTGGCTTCCACTCGCTTGTATGTTCCTACTCATTATTGTTTAGGGGTGATTGATGCGGTTGCAGATATCACCAATGTAGCGGAGACGGACAAGATGCCCTTCAGCCCTCCCGCACAGCTACTGTGTTTGTGTGCCAAATTAAGACCTGCATCTTGAGAAAGAAGGCGCAATTACCAAAGGAAAGTGACCCAAAGCTATCGTCATGTTTGTCTCACGAGATTTGTTTTCTGGTGGTCCATCTTGGGCATGCCGCTCAAAGCTTGTGCTTTCAACTGCATGAACCTGAAGGTCCTTTTTTCCGCAGCTCGTTCTGCTTCCAGCACATCTTGTGCGACCCCCGGCAGCAGCTCTACTGTGCGTGTATCCACAGCCCCAGTCCTGACGAGCCCTGCCCCCGCCCTGTTCTGCGAGCGGTGGTCCCGGCACTCTGCGCTCAGCATGCGGTAAGCCAGACCTTGCATCTGCTGAGTGGCCTCATTGCAATGCTCGTCTTCAGAGGGACATATTCCAGTCGGACCAGATACCAACTCACAAGTCAAAGAATACTCTGCGATTCGAGTCCATGCAAGTTTTGTGTTTTGGCGGCGCCTACTCGGTTCCGGAATTCATTTTATAAAAACGATTTCCGAAACACGCTCCTCACCGTCGTTGCGACTGAGTGGAGTCCTTTTTGTGTCGTTCTGCTCCTCTGCTAAGTCCGATGGCAGAAGGTAGTTGAAGTGTCATAAGGTAACTTATTTCAAGTGACAATCAGATGCATATCCTCGCACCAATAATGGTGGCAAGGGGTGATAGGTTGATTAGAACGACCATCATTCGTGCAGGCTCTGCGCAAGACCAGCCAGTCCCCCCGCCAGCGGCCCAGCTCTGCCGGCAGCTCAGCCGGCGGGGCGACGTCTTCTTCCTCCATGCTCCCCGTCCCTCCAGTGCACGTGTTGATGAACGAATATATAAGAGTCTTGCAGAGACATAGAACAGTCACGGCAGCTTTAAAGCAAGAGGTTAAAACGTGACTTTCGAAAGGACCTTGAGAGAGTTCAGACCTGCTTTATATGCCATGTGGAAAGACTTTCGATTGCTAGCACAATGAAAGGTCTCAGATCTTTTGCAACTTTCCAGGCTTCGTACAACTTGTGGCTATATGCTCCATGGACCGTGTGACGATGAATGCCCGCGAGACATCATCCAACGTGCACGCGTGTATGTCTAACAGAAAGATACGTTATGTATGCATCGGATATCGTAGTTGACTGCGGCTAGCTAGCTTCAACAGCATGATGAATGCAATCAAGTACATGTATAATCGAAGACGGTAAGCTATGCGCTCTGTGCGCAAAAGGTTGTCATATACAAAGTCTCGTGCGGGGGCCCCGCGGTCAATGTCCGACCGGACTCCCGGCCAGGTCCGCATGTTCTACAACGTCCTTTTTGCATCGTAATTTTAGAAGTCTTGGTGCAACTTCAAACTACATTCACTCGCCACTTAGCCAAACCGACATTGGGAAGTGCCCGGGGGAAAGTACGGAACTCTGCAGAAAGTACCGCCAGGTCATTGCAGTGCCGCAGACTCAGGTGCACGGTCTGCAA